GCATATTAATTATTGTCGGAATAAGGTTGACTTCTTATGTGTTTCTTAACTGATAAAATTATTAAAGATAACAAAATGTACTACTATATTTCTACACATTTCCTTGCAGAGGACACTCTGTATATGTTGACAAATTTAAGACATTTTTCCGCATTTGAACAAATGCGAAATTATTTTTTATCGTTTTCGTAGAATATTCAGTGGGGTACCATTTACTTAAAAAGGTTCCCTAAAACAGTATTTGCACACAGCTGAATTTTCCAATTCCACTGAAACTGTTCTAGACCAGAGAGACACAATATTATTCATTAAAATTAGAAAACAGTTGGTGTGTAGGTTTTTGTTTATTTTTTTTTTAATTCAATCGATGCAGGGGTAGGGTCAATTAGGGTGGTTTTCGGCCCCCTTCATTTTTGGCAAAAAAAGGAATTTTTTTTTATTATTTATATCCAATAACAAATCGATTCCACCCCAAACGGGACCTCCCCCTCCCCCATTGCTAGTCAGAATCGAGGGTAAATAGAAGTCGGACTGAGAAAAATTATATTAAATCAAAGGATCTCTGAGTTTGGCTTTTCTCAACTTGACCTTCAAATGACCTTGAGACGATCTTCAAATAACCTGATACAGACAAACTGACCTCGGTTTCTAACCCAGCGACCCCAACATCTTATATAGCAGCTTGCTGGACTTGATTGCTCCTTTTTTTCTCAATTTGACCTTGAAATGAGTTTGAAACAACCTTAAAATGGCCTGATACAGACAAACTAACCTCCGAGATCCTTTGATTTAATGCACTTTTTCTCAATCTGACCTCTATTTGACCCCGATCCTGACTAGGAAGGATGGGGAAAATCCAGTTTGGGGTGGAATCGATTGGATATAAATAATAAAAAAAAAATCTTTTTTTTTGCCAAAAATGAAGGGGATCACAAATCGGCCTGATTGACCCTCCCCCCCTTGTATTTGACAATTTTTTGACAAATTTGACAATCTTAAGTAGACGTCCTATGTGTAGGGTCATTAATGGTATGTAAGCGAATTCACATCATAAAAAATATTTCGAAATATCAACGGTTTAAAAATTATAGGCTATTAAAATTAAAACTGCCGATAGCTCAGAAAAATACAAATATATATTTTTATTTTCTGGCTACATAACATCAGTAAACTACAGTTTTGATAAAAATTGACGATGGCAAAATAATTCAGTGACGTATACGAAACGCTTCTAATCTAACTTTTATGTTATGAGTTTCCATTATTATTTATTCAATATAGGAGTAATTGCCTCAACAATTTTATGTAATTGAAATGATTAATAACTGAACATTGTTTCATTTAAATTTATTTATTTCATTATGAATACTGTTATTATAAAAGTAAAGAATTAATACAAAAAAAATTGCAAATAATTTTTACTTAAATATCAAACACAATTTAGTGGAGTGTGTTAATTCTTTGACGATTCAAGAAATAAGAAACAAAAAAGAACTTACTAAAGCCGAAACAATTGAAGTTTTAATGCTGATTGGGTTTGGAGATAGAAGTCGGTCGTATTTTATTCAATGAAACTCATCCAAATTGTCGTTTAATATTACAATCAATGGTAAGTCGAATTGAGAAGACATTTCACTATCTTGGACATGTATGAGGTAAGCCAAAGGCCATTCAATAATTGTGAGCGTCGGCGTCGCTTCACATCTTAATATATCAAAAAATGCAATTTTCCAACTCCAACAACAAGTTAAAATTTCACCCGTACATATTGGAATTGGTACAGGAACTGTCCGATGATAATTTTGACCAAGTAGAACAATTATGTGGAACATTGATGGAACCCTCCAATGCAAATCCTGAATTTATTAGAAACATTGTATTGATGCAACATTCTGGTACCGTCAACAAATTTCCAGTATTGGGAGATTGGAAATCCCCATTGGATGATGAAGCCAAATACACAACATCCCTACAAGGTTAACGCGCGATCTGGGACAGAGCGTAATCGAATTGCTGGACCATACTTAAATTAATACTTGACAGTAAAATAACAATTCAGAAACAAAAATATATTTGGAAATTAACAAACCAATAAAGAAAAAAAATATACAGTGTTCCACGTAATTGGGATTCTTCTGTAATTCTGTAACTCTGTAACTATAAAATTTATAAAAAATGGTTTTAATAAAAGTTCTATGAAATCATGTCGGCCATGTAAAGAAAATATGTTTGGCTTCACAGGGTGTTCCATTTCGCGTGGGCGTTACATATTTATTTACATTGTTATTTTAAGCGGAACACCCTGTATATTATTGCAGTTTTGAATTCCTTGGTTAATATTAGATAGAGTTTATTAAATGTATATGGCATTTAAAATTTATCGTTTTCGAGATAATCAGTTGTTTTTGAAAAAAATCACGATTTCAGCTCTCTAAATGATAATTGCCATTATTATGACACACTAAATCCTCACCAATTCCGGACAACTCAAAGCTAACGATGGTCTTTGAACGTGTGAGGAGCAATTTTGGGAACCCATGTCATTAGACCAATCTTTTTTGACTAGCATCTAACTGCAGCTGTTTATTTAAACTTTTTAACAAACACTCTAGAAGATTTGTTAGGCGACATTCCTTTAGCTACATTTCGAAGAATGTGGATGCAAAATGATGATGTTCCACCTCACAATACCACTGCGGTTCGTCAGTTTTTACATGAAACTTTTCCCAACTGATGGATTGGGCGCTGGGGACTAGTGATGTAAATCAGCGGTCCCTTCCTTGTTGTGTTCCGAGTTTCAGTTTGTTTCGTTTTGCGTTTTGTTTTAGTTGTTGTTAGTGGTTTACTTTTGTTTGTCAAACCACTTTTTAAACATGCCAGAAAATATTGACACTGTCAGTCCCAGACTTAATAAAATGTGAGAGAACAGTGGTTTTGCAAGACCTTCTTGACTCTGTTACATAGCTACTTTTTCGGACTTTAGAAAAGAATCTGATTTTACTGAATGATTTTTCGACATATTTGAACATTTCAGGTTAAATAATTATCCGGTATATAAATGTGTAACATATAGTGTCAAAAATAAAAGATTAGCATCAACACAATTCCAATTCTCATAAATATTAAATTAGATATGGTAACTCATTATTAAAACTACCAAATCACGATTACAAGATTATACAGATATGAAAAGTCACCTTACGTGGGTATAAAATTGATGAATGTATTGCCAGAAAACATAAAAACTGAAAGTTATATAAATTTACTTAAATCTGAATTTAAGAATTACCTCAATATAATTTATAATTGTCTCTCTGCTTTTGTTATTTTTCATAAATATATTTTAAATTTTGATATTGTATTTCTCAAAAGCTATAGCAATTTTTACAGAAAAAAGACAAATCTGCAATTGCTTCTAGTAAGTAACTCTCTCCAGTAAATTGTGTTTGACATTTACATACAAACAATTTGTATTGTTTCTATCATTCATTACTATAGCCGTATCAACGCCTGTTTGAATATTAGCATTTTTATTTGTATACATTTTGGTATCTTCGTTATTTATCAACCAATTTTGAAAAACTTTATTTTAATTGTATTTAGCATAAAAAATGTATTAATCAAGATATCACAAGGGCTACTCTGCGATTTGGATATTTAAAGTTGGGGTTGCTACAGCATCGGGTTGGAAACTATATCTCTTGATGATAATTTAAAAATAAAAATCGACGTGTCTGAGCATATTTTTGAAATATTTGTCTAAACGATTTTATAGAATTTATTCGTTACTTTCGAGAACCATTGTACAGTACAAATAAAAGCATTAATTGCACAAGACCACAACATTTTATATTTCGCGATGTATTAAAGTCTTTATTTGTAAAGAGAGTAATTAGTAGAGCTGTCATAATTGGCCGCGCACCAAAGGTGTGCGGATGATCAACATAAAATAAAGTGAATAATAATTACAAGATTTATGTTATTGTATTATTGTGAAACACGTAAATTGTCTTTCGCATCGTTGTCATCGGTTCCCCAATCTGGGTGGGATCCGTTATAGATCGCATAATCAGGTATGTTCCAACGAAACTTATGTACGGCGGTGATAAAATATCTTAATCTGAAGAGACCGACCGTTTGACATCTGCTGATGTAATATTTGCATAATTAAATAATGTACTTCCAAGCTGCTCTGACATGGTAGTTTCCACTCGGGTTTGTATTTATTCCAAGGGGAATGAAATGTATTATTATTTACTATATCAAATGGTAGGTTACATGCAATCAGTATAAAGATTAAATCAAACATAAATTGAACCTTCTGGTTTTCGCCGGTTTTTTATACTTTAATATTTATTACTTTATGTTTATTAATACTTATTTTAATAATTTTTTTAGTCAGTATAGTATGAATTGTTTGCTGTTTTTTTAGCATTAACTACGCTCGACATAATTACACACAATTATGCATCTAAAGACCACTAAAATCGTAAAAGAAATCATTCGATTACCTACACGGAAATCAGCAACTAAACCGACAACTATGCAGTTCGCGTGGCTGACTGACGGCGCCAATAGCTAGCTGACCGATTGTGACAGTTATAGTAATTAGGTGTTTTATAATTTATATTTTAACGCCGTTTTAATGTTTATTATGTATAGTAAATTATGTGTAATAAATTATGTAAATAATTGTTTAACTGTGTAGCCGAATAAAATGTATGAAACATTTGGCAGGTTATGTGCATAAATAAATTGAAATAGACAATGAAATACAAAATAACTTATAAGATAAATTTTGTACTATTTGGTTGAATACCCTCGACAACCGAGCACCATATAGCATATTATTTACGAATTTTTTTAAATAATACAGACCTTCGAATCATGAGGTTGGATTTGGCTTTGAATTAATTAGAGAGATGAAGGGTTATTTTCCACATTGTAAATAAAATCTGCATGCGGTTATTACTCCTGCAAATTTTTTCAGACTTAAAACCATGCCACCTTATACAACAACATTAGTGGAAGAAAAGGAAATATTTCAGAAAAATGAAGAACAAGAGTGTACTTTCGGACGTGAAAAATATAAGTTTCTTATTTGGGAATTCGAGACACGTATAATATGGACAAATGTGATACTCATTGGTCTGTTTCATTTTATAGCTCTTTATTCATTCCTGACACATTCATATTTCGAGAAACCAGGAATCGTCATATACGGTAAGTAAATGAAAATAATGTACCTAGTTTATAATTCAACGTAATTTGAAATTTAAGAAGTCAGCTCTGTTTATCTGCAATGAGTTTATATTTTCACTTTTTTAAACAGTTCGTCATAACTTCAGGAGATCGTCGCTTTCTAAAGTGTTACTAGTTATTTTAAGTTTGTTTTATTGTAAACATATCAAATTTTTTTTAAATTTATTGTTTCTAAAATATTCAGCGTTATTAAAATTCTGAGGTTTTCATTGACATTATAATTCTCTATTTGTATACTAATTTGATACATTGTTTCATTAGTCTATATAAAAAATTATCAGATATTTCAACAATCCTTCTTTTTTGAAACTTCAACTTGTCCAACTCCTATACTTCAAAAGCAAGGGCTCTTGATACATTAGACTTTTTACTAAGAAACAATTCAAGAAACAAATTCAAAAAATTGCTATATGAATTTAAAAAACACCGTGTATATTTATATAGCTATTTACAAGCCCTAGCAATTAAATATTCAAACGGTACATTATCTATTATAAATTTGAAGTAATTTTTTAATTTTTCCAAATTCGCCTCAACTGTACAAATAATAACTGAATTATTGACTTGTATTGATTAAAAAAAAAACAGTTGAACTGGAATTGAAATTACGGCTAGCTACAAAATGCGACACAAGTACATGTTTTTTAGCATAGTGTCGACTATGGATCTACAAAATTGCGAAGTGAAAAAATTCCCAAATCTCCTGTGATCAGAAATTATTTATCCTTTGGGGGTTCCTCTGTAAGGACTATTGCGTATGATCTCATAATATTTCAGTAACATTTAGGTCGGAGCTTCTTGTCGGCCAACTCAAGACTTTAATATCATTGTCTCCTTAACCATTTTTTGTGTACACTGGCCATATGACACAAGAAGCACCATCTTACTGAAAAATGATATTTCTGTCGTAAAATTGTTTTAATGCTATGGGTAATTAGTTACTCTCCAAGATATTCAGATATTTACCTGCATCAACGGTGTTGTTACTGAACTCTAATCGTCTCACCTTTCTTTACCGGCAGGTATTCCCAGATCATGATTCCATGTGAGAACTTTACTGTACTATTTAAGCACTCCTTGTGAATAGCTCCCCTTTACGTTCGTATCACGAGCTTGCGAAAATCCCTAACACACACGTTGAAAATAGATGAAAATTACTTGAGCCTAGTCGTCACGTTTCCGAGTAACTTTCGATTTAGCCCAAGCTCAACCCTTCTGCTTCTTGTGTACCTTCAGCAATGGTTGTTCTTTTGCCTTGTTGTAGCGTTCGACGTTACAATTAACCTTGCCTACAAACAAGAACTCTATGGTATTCTTATATATTTTTGGCCACTGAATTTGAATCTAAACTCTATTTTCTTATATGTATATTTCGAAGAGTTCTCAATAGTACATTCCAGGGTCCATATTCATTCAACGCAAAACCACTCGACTACAAATAGTAAAACTAGATATTTCATGAGTCTTTCATACGAACTCTATAACCCTGAAGTCTCCTACTTCAACCTTCATGACATCATAATCCTATACATAATACCATAAGCATGGGAATGAGAGTGAAGTACGAGGAGATTCGTATGTAATGACGAACTTGATGGATTGCAGAACCTTGGAATGGGAAATTCAGTAAACCTATTACCTTCCAATCAGGAACCACCACAATCCCATCAGCACATAACCCCATAACCTTATGAAACTGGAGATGGATCAACCTTAGAACCAAGACTCAAATAACCCTATAACCCCGTAACCGTTTATTAAAAATCACAATAACTTCTTAAACCCAAGAACCCCACAGTTTCATAACCCTATGAAACTGAGAACGCAGTAAACAGACTTGAATTCCCTCATGGTGATTTATGATACAGTGTTACGGGGTTACATGGTTACTTGAATCTTGCTTCCAAAGTTCGTCACTTATAAATATCGTGACACTTCAATTCCTTCGCTCTGTTCATTCCGTTCCCTTATGAGGCTATGGTGGTTTCTGATAAATGATAATGAGGATTTACTGAGTCCCCTATTCCTAGATGGAACCCATGAAGATTGTCATTAAATACGAGCCTCCTCGGATTCTCAGGATTATGGCATCATGTGGTTGTAGAGTTATGTTGTTATGGAGGTTGAGGTCAAGGGGTTTCAAAGCTATAGAGTTTGTATAAACGATCCATAGTTCTATTATTTGAATTCAAGTGATTTGACGTTGAAAAGGTGGGGGATCATGGAGTCCAGTATTGAGGATTTTAAAAGATATACGTATAATCTGACGATTTGCAAAAAATCGTGATATGTAAGCTCAAAAGAGAGGTCTACTTTATGGCACAGACAACTTTTTTTGTGGGCCTGTATAATTATTACCTCTAACCGCACTTTACCTTGTAAAATTCATGACCAGACTTGTGTATGCACTGACGGCAAATATTTCCTCGAACCTTTTTGTGCCCTTTTTATCACTTTTACCGGTCGACCAAAACTCTTTCTCAAACCTATACACCATCAGGTATGTTTTAATTATTATATCTACAATAGTAACTTTCGCCAGCAATTTTTTCCATTAGTTTCCCTCCCTCATTTTATTGAATTAATATTTCACGTACTTTTTTGGATGAAGTAAAACAAATAGAACAGAATTACACTAATTATACACTGTTTATACAAAATACCTACTAGATCTTCATAATCTTAGATTGTCATGCAACAAAAACATGGATTGTTGTTGTTGATTGTTGAGTTGGCTCCTTAAACAGATGCAAACTAGTGATATAACCATTAACTAGAAATATTTTTACAGCGACAGTAATCGGAAGCATATGTGGATTTGGTATTACAGGCGGAATACATAGATATTTTACACACCGATCGTATAAAGCAAAATTACCACTGAAGTTAATTCTGATTTTCTGCTTTTCAATGTCAGGGCAGGTATGTACACTCGTGGATCATTTTGGTGATGTCCAATATGTATCTACTAATTTCTATGGAGCACGTAGGGCAGGTCAAAATATCACTAGGACTTGCTATATTTTATTGTCCAATGTCGAGATTTACTTGTTAAAAAAACTATTCTTCATTTGTTTCGGTAAAACGGTTTTTGAGATTTGGTTTCTGAAACAAGGAGTAATAACTAAAATTATTCATTTATAAACTGTTATGTTGGTATATTGAAGATGGTCATAGCTGCAGAGCAACATGTTAAAAATTAAAAATAAACGTTTTCATAATAATAAAAAATGAGAAAAAGTTTACCTTTTGGTATTTAATACCACTTAGACAAATGTTTTCTCGGTGCACATAAAACATTGTTTTAGGGTATTTAGAGACAAATGCATTTTCTTATTATGCATCAGAAAGAAGTCAGTTACTGAATTGATGCACCTTAATATCAGAAAATGATTTGGGGTGAATTGTATAAATTAATCTGATGATTCTCAGAATATGAGAGTCAACTCAATTTATCATGTCTAATAACCATATTCCTTCTCCAGAAAATGTTTTTTAATAAGCTCTTGCTTGGATGTACAATGTACATATATATATATATAAGTGCAGTGTACAAGCAATTTTACACAAATGTACCTATTTAACACCTATAGGTTATGGCCAAAGAAACCTTATCTATTTATAGAACAAGAGCAATTGCAATGTATTCAAATTTTATAAGTGGCTAAACAATAGGTCATTATGTAAATTAATGTAGCTGTGTCGTGACAATTTTGTTTTTTGGGAAAAGATGTTTGCCTTATCCGGGTTGTTCTGTGGAGCAGTCCGGTGTTCAATGATTTACAACTGTGTAGAATAAGTTACATTGTATTTAACTCAAAAATTATCCCACTGACATGAAATAAAAATGAATTAATCATGAAGATAGAAGTGTTGGGCTAGGTTACCCAAATGGAGCGTCAGGGGTCATTAGGTGAAAACAACACCCAATGAGCATAAACGATGGAATTGGAAGAGTCTTAATACTGTCGGGACGTAGCAAAGAATTTTCTATCTGGCGGGACCATTACTAACGCCAGGTATAGAAGCCAAGGATAAAGACGCCTTAGCTTGCCGAGAGCGAGAGAAGGAACGCTTGGCTTGGCGCAATTGGAGTTCACACATCTTTGCACGTATATTGCAATGACCCTAAACATCCTGACCGCTCAAACAATGGTCCTGGTAAAATCAAGATGGCCCGCAGAAAGGACGTCATGAACCTCTTCTGGTACCACAGGCCTTCCTGGAGAGGTACACGTTGCTGCATTAGTTAATACAGCCTGGCTCTGAAAAATCGTAACGATCAAAGTGTTGGTACAGTCTCTCATTTATAATGCCGTAGTTGAAATTATCTTCTGGATGCTCTTTTACTTAGCGGATAAATCAAGGACATATCGAAAGTGGTCAACACCGTAATGAGTATGGTAATGTGTAGCGGGATAACGCATCGACTCTTTTATTCAGAATCCCAGGTTTATGTCCCAGGAATTCAAAGTCGTATAATTATAAAGAGTTGATTAACTTATATAATCATTAAGAAAGGTTTAATAGGATTTGCAGTCATTTCAGTTATTGATTTCCACAGCAAAATGATAATATTCCAGGGAGAATCTCAGTTTCGGGACCCAAAATAATCTGCTAAATATTGCTTCTTGATGGTTAAATAAACAGGTGGTGGTAGAGTTCGATTAGCGTAGTAGATTACCCGATCTTGTCCACCTATGTTCTGGATAGGTGCGGATCCCAAATCCAGATCTGAAAGGTCAGTTTTTAACAAGAAAGTTACGGTGATTGGTCTCCAAATTCTGGAAGATATGTTTTTGTTCTTCATTCCAATGCCATTTCACTCATTTCCTCAGGAGTTTGTTTTCAGATTTTGAGACCTGTGAAAACTTTGGGACAAACTGACGCCATTCCTAAAAATCTTCTCAATTCCCTAATAGTCCTTAGACCTGGTGTCCTTATCACATCGGTAATCTTATCTGGATCAGTATTTATACCGTCTTCCACATGGCCGAGATATTTCAATGACTCTGGAAGAACTTGTATGTAGATTATTTTTATTATTGAGATACGCAAAAGCCTACGTATGCACATCTAGCCCAATCATTTGCTTAAAGTGGCCGGAGTGGAGTGCAACCCAAACGGCATCACAGTAAATTCAAACAATCCTCTGCCAGGAATAGTAAAAGAGGTGATTGTTCTACTTTCCCGGGTTTGCCAGTATACTTGTTTCAAGTCGATACTGGAAAATAATTTTATTCCTTTTAGCTTTTCCAAGATATAAATCGTAATAAGTTGACTTGAAAATCAACGTAATCAATGTCCGAGACTTGTTGGTTGTACTAGGTAGTACAGTAGCGGCGGTAGCCAAGGCATTGCGAGGTTTCAAGGAAACTACTCTTGACTAGACTTCAATGGATAGGACAGGACAGAAAGTCCATTCCGAGAATGATGTCTGAAATAAGGTTTAGTATTATTGAGAAGTTACCTAGCTTTAAAGTTAGAAACCAAAACGTAAATCTCTAAGCTCCTCTTTAAGTTGTAGTAGTATTGTTATTTTGATTTTATCTATAGTTCCGAGAGATTAGTAGATACTTAGTATATTAAGATCTCGTAAAAAAAATCACTTGAATAATATTGAAAATCTTGATGGCAATAATCAACATTACTTTGATCAAATCTTATAACCAACAGAGATTTTTATACAGTTACGAGAATTCAACATGTGTATTTACAAAATGACACATTAAATATGGAAGACAAATTTTGAAATATATTTTGCATGTTACCTCGCATGTTACCCCTACATTTATCTGCTGTTTTAAGAAATATCAAGTGATAAATTTAAAGATAAATGTACTTAAAAATCCCACAGAACAGCATTTTAGAATGGGTCCGTGACCACAGGGTGCACCACAAATTTAGCGAAACTGACGCAGATCCACACGACTCCCGTAGAGGATTCTTCTTTGCCCATGTTGGTTGGTTGATGATGAAAAAACGCACAGAAGTGATAAAGAAAGGTCGACAAATAGACTACAGCGATCTATTAGAAGATCCATTAGTTGCGTTCCATGAAAGGTATGACAAATTTCGTATTTGATCACATTCTACTTATAGTGGCGTTTGTGTACAGATGCAAAAGCTTTATTATACAGGGTGAGTCGAGAGAATTGTACCTCCAGAGATGGATTCTACATATCTATGTAAATAATAAGAAAAATTAAAATGTTGTTATTCTATTTTCATTTGTTTTCAAGTTATAGCGTAATTACAAATTTAAAAAATTTGAATTCAGAGTATGTAATGTTCCAAGTCCAATACCAGAATATTTGTCAGTGTCATGTTAGGTTGCAATAGTTTCACATTTGATTACACGATTACACATTACGAGCAGAGTGTTACAATAGGCCAAGAACTTATTCAAATTTAGAGTATGCAAATATGGTGTTTGTTCATGGTTTTTATAATGGGAATGCTAATGCTGCTGTTGAAGAATATTGTCAACGGTTTCCACATCACCTCAAGATTGTATTTATCAGAGTTTTCGAAAATCTGTTCGAAATCGGTGCTTGTATAACATCTCAACGAGCTCATCGACCGACAAGGTTTAGAAAAAGGAGAAAATATTCTGGGTATAGTAGAAGATGATGCCATTACCAGCTCACGAAGAATTGCTACTCAATTGAGCATTCCACAAAGAAATGTAATAAAAACCCTCCACGACCAAGACATATCCGTACCATGTACGGAGATTACAACACCAACAACCGGAAGGTTATGGCTAAGCGTATCGAGTTTTGTAATAATAATAATAATAATGATAATGATAATGATAATGATAATGATAATGATAATGATAATGATAATGATAATGATAATGATAATGATAAT